TCTTCACTGGCGTCCATGAATCGAGAAGGACTTCTTACTGGAACTAAAACGCACGGATGTACTGAACAACCGTCAGATTAAACTCTTTGTTAACAAAGAAAGGAGGATGCACTTTGTCTTTAAATAGTGAACAGCAGCTCTGGTAAGTTAAATGCGTTTGTCTTTACATCTGCAGTAGCTTTAATATGCTTGTTTATATATTACTATTTGTACAACTTATTTTTATGAAGAGATTTGTGTTTGGTTTTATATGTGATAGGAACTATTGTTACGTCCAATGTTGCTCTGGGGACATATTTAGCAGGTGCCAGTGTTGGCAACTTGGCGACTCTCTCGCTAAATCTGGCGACTTTCCAAATCCTCATGGCGACTTTTTTTGTAAAAAGCTACTAGTGACAAATCGAGCGACTTGTTCTGGTGTTGTTGGAGACTTTTGTGGTCTTTTGACTCGTGAAAGCACGTACGTTCTGCACTGTCCTGAACGAGCAGTGGGAGCTGCTGTGAGCCCCTCCGCCGCGAGCTGCTGTGAGCCCCTCCGCCGCAAGCTGCCGTGAGCACCTCCGCCGCCCCATAGCACACACAGGCGCAGCAGTCCCAGCTGCAGTCAGAGCAGAGAGGAGACACACTCTATCTATAGGTGTTGGCTTCATTTTGACACGAAACAAGTAATAACCGTAGCTGTGTTTCAGCTGCAGGACAGCAGTGAAGGCCCAGGTATAAAATGCACGGCCTGCCACTGATATATACACTGTATATAACAGTGATGATCCAAATCTAATGTCAGTGAGAGTTAAAGATGAAATGCTGGGACTGACCTCCTCAGGCTTGCCTGCCCCTCTCTCGATGGTCTCTAAGAAGCCGTCAGAGTTTCTCCTCAGAGACAATCGACCCCTCTTCGACCCTTTGGACGGGTCGGTCACCGGCTGCTTGTACACGTCCATCTGGAAGAAGCAGGAAGAATGTAAAAAAAGTGAAATCATCTGCTCTAAATGCTCAGGCGCACATTGTCTGAGAGGATTACGGTATCTGTGAGACACATGGAAGCATCTCTTGTATTTTTATTAATTTTCTTCAAAATAGATTTTTAATCAACATGTCTATTACAGATGAAACAATGAATACCATGACAAATACATGTTTTTCATGCAGTGATAGGTGTTATAGGTGTGTGTCTCTGTTACAGTTCTGTACAGTTCTTTGGCATCATTCCTATAAGCTTCTGTAATGCAATGAATGGAAATAACATATATACAGTATTACACAATTCCCCCACACAATAAGTGGTTCAGTGATGCATAAGCTTGGCATTTAATTGATTGGACTGTTCATGTTATTGTGTCCCTCAAATGTCTGAAATGAATGAGTAAAATATTGTCATAACAATGACAAGCAATCACTAAAGAGCTTCTTAGAGATAGGGATTTGTGATATATATGTCATTACAGAACATTATCAAACAGCTTAATATTAGATTCTGACTATCTACGGTCTGTTATTTCGTTAACAACAGACTGTTGCTTTGGACACAGTTCTGATCTCCGTGCACAGTGAGAGGACAATTATTTTAGTGGAAGCGATGGAATCATTTTGAAATCAATATTTTGTGTCAAATCATTGATTTCTTTAGTGAGTAGCCGTGTAATAAGCAGGATGATGTTCAGCGAGAAGGTCATTATTGTAAAATGAACTCCTTCAGGCTGATTTAAGACACTCAAGTCCTGCTCACCCTGTCGGGGTTCATTTCACATTAATGACCGGTTGGAGGTTTATTATTCGTCAATGGGAAGTATGGTAGGTCAAAGTTGAACCAGGACGTGGATCTGCAAAGTTAAAACAATACTAACATACCCATATGAACAGTGAAACAGGTTTTGCTAGCTGTAAATTCTTCCTGTTTAGAAATGATGGTTAGACTAGAAAACCCAGGTTAAACGCCTTGATTTTGTGTTTGAAAGGTTTTTGTTAATCATTTCACATTAATATTTATATCAACAATAATCTGTTGATGTTCATCTGTTAAAGTCAGTAAATGAGGTTTGAGAATCTCTTAAGCAAGGTATTGTTGCAGTATCTAAATCAAGCCAGACCTCTTCTACTTACTCCCTTGCCGTTACTCTCGACGTAGCTGCACTTGAATGCACAGTTGAGAGTATCTCTGTTGAGTTTCTGCAGCAAAGCGCTGCCGCAACCAAAGAGGACGTTCTCAGCACTCCAGCCTTCATCGGTTAGCTTTTGAAGAATCTACAGAAAACAAAGACAGAAGGCTTCAAATGAAACTATTTGTTTACTAAAATTATAATTACAAATGTTTTTAGGCAAAGCAGTGGAACAGGAACTGTCAAGACAACTGTAAAAATCTGTTTTTTTTAAGGATGACGTTGGCATCATAGAACAAACAAACCTTGAAGTTAATAATTGTTTGGGTTATGACAGACACACTTGCTAATATTTGAAAACAGTGAAGGATTCCCAACCATTTTAACAATTGAGTTTTAAAACTTTTCTATAACACGTTACCATGTTTTAAGGAACGTATTTCACGTAACATTATGTTTTGGGATTTTTATAAATATTTTTGAACAATGGCAAAAAGAAAATATATTCCAAACCTGGATCTCCAGGCCTGGAAAATAGTTATTAATTTCAAATTTTTCCAGGAATCTCATGACTGTAGGTTCCTGATTGTTGAAAGCCACTGAGCATACATCTTTAAAGGGAAAAACAACCTGGGTTGTGTTGTCATAGTTTGGATCATCGTGTTGAGTAGTGTCACAGCTTCACATTAAGTGAGCAGACCAATTTAACCAAATTCTCCATGCCATTTACTTGGAGATGAAAACAAACTTGCTCTGCTATACTGTAAAGCTGTGGCTGACAGTGTCGTAGCACAGCCAAATCTCAGCAATCAAACATGTGAGTAAAATGTCAGCATCACCAACAGGATTGGTAGCCCAAAGTACAAAAACTGGCCCTAGGATGGAAAGTCGTAAAGCCCTTCAGTTAACAACTTCAGTGCGATTGTAGATTTTTGTGAAAATCACAGTGAAAGTGGTTGTAGTCTATGCGTTGCCTGCTGTGCTGTCTACAGAAAGGTATTTTTGGATATTACCACTGGGACTTGGTGCCGTAGTGAGAGCCTTTGCAGATGGTGCGCGAGCTCCGAGTATGTACAGAGGCGTTTTTACTCTATGTCAGGGGTCACCAATTGGCGGATCCGGACCCAGACGCCGTTGTATCCGGACCCAGGACCTAAAATCGATTTTATTTTGACAGAGCGCTTCTATTTTAACCGGCACAGCTTTTTCAGCCTTTACGGCACTTGTTCAGCGGTGCAGGAAACACACCGACCAATGCGTTGTAAATCACATCACGTGATGCAGCTCAGCCAATCAAATATGGGTATTCTGACAAGTTTCCTGACTCCAGTGATATATACACACAACGGGGGAGAGACGAGGAAAGAGAAGGAAGAGCAGGAGAATAATATGTGAGTCAGAGAAGTTATTTCACATAATGTTCTCCAAAAAGAGAAAAGTGGTCAGAGAGACCAGAGTCTTTAACCACGAATGAACAGACTCTTATAGGTTCATTCTTCACACGGACAGTTTAAAACCAGTGTGTCTCATATGTTCAGAGACCGTGACGATTATTAAAAGCGGCAAATGAAGCGACAATACGAGAAAAAGCATAACTCTTTTGAGCAAACATACCCACTCACATCTGAAATGAAGACACAGAAAATAAACCTAAGAGCCCAATATGATCAGAATCCACATGAATTCACTGACCAAAAATGATGTTAACAGAGAGAATAGAGCTGTGGTTTAGTAACCACAGATAAAGTCCATGCACGAACATTTCTCTTTTTAGATGAGAAAAATATAATATTGTGGCTTTTTTATTGACATCACTTCACACCAGAATGAACTGAATTTAAAGCTGCAGGGCAATTCAGTTCAATTCATTTTTCTAAAATTAAGTATTTTATTTTAAGAGTCACATTTTTCAAAGGCTTTCCGTTGTGTCAGTTATTCTTTAATTCAGCCCTTATTGTACTCATACCTGCAAACTCATGAGAGGTGAAAAAGGTGACAAGCCCAAAACCCTGTCCGGGGGGATGTACTCTGATGTACTCTGAGAAGAAAATTAAGTGATAAGACATTTACTTTAAGCAAAAAAGTAATTTATTATTCAGTTATTAATCACTATTTCAGCTATTATTATTAACCTTTATTTAGACAAAATCAATTGAGACCGAGGTCTCATTTTCAAAAGTTTTGGTCAAATAAAAACAAAGATAGCAAGAGTAGCGAGAACCATCGCCTGTACAAATAAAGTGATTAGTTTTCATTGAACCCTGTTACTGTACGTCTTCATATTAACTTCTACTGTTACTCTAAAGCTGTTAGAATTGTGGCCTATCTTCTATTTGCAATTAATATGCATTCAATCCAGTTCAATTATTTAAATGAAAATGATAATCTACTCTGGCTAAAGTAGTTTATCAAGAGTAAAATAATAGCTGTGATCTATACACACCTCTGCATTAGCAACCCGCTTAAATTAAGGTACAGGCACCTTAACACCTCATTACTTCAGGGTTATTGGGAGCAACGTGGGACTGTTATTACCGGCTACCGTTCGGAATAACGAGCGCACCGGAAATCTTCCAGAGGAAGATGATGGAGACTCTGCAGGGGCTGGAGGGTGTCGAGGTCTTCATGGACAACATTCTGGTCTATGGGGCCACAGAGGAGGAGCATGATGGTCGCCTGGAGAAGGTAATGCAGCGCATAGAGACAGCTGGTCTGAAGCTAAATCGTGAGAAGTGCTCCATCAGGCAGAGTCAGCTGCGGTTCCTCGGGCATCTCATTGACCGGTCCGGGATCCGGCCTGACCCCGACAAAGTGGAAGCTATTCGGCAGCTGTCACCACCAGCAGACGTGCAAGAGTTGAGAAGGATACTGGGAATGGTGAATTATCTTGGAAGATACATCCCCGAACTCTCAACGGTAGGACAGCCTCTATACGAGCTCCTGAAGGACAAGAATACATGGAGCCACGCACAACAAACAGCTTTTGAACACATCAAGGAGCTGTTGACAACTGCACCAGTACTCGCTTTCTATGACTTGAGCAAGCCCACGGCTGTGTCAGCGGACGCAAGTAGTTATGGGTTGGGGGGGGGTGTACTCCTTCAGCTCCACAGGGAGCAGTGGAAACCTGTGGCATATTGTTCCAGGACGCCTTCACTGAAGCAGAAACACGCTACGCCCAAATAGAAAAGGAAGGTCTGGCTGGTGTGTGGGCATGCGAGAAGTTCGACAGATACCTCAGTGGACTGGAGCAGTTCAAGCTTATCACTGACCACAAGCCGCTAGTGCCTCTCATTAACAGCCGCAGCCTGGACAATGTACCTATACGATGTCAGCGTCTCCTCATGAGGCTCATGAGATTCAATCCAGTGGCAGAGTATGCTCCAGGGAAAACTCTGGTCTTCGCGGACACCCTGTCACGCAGTCCACTGGCCAGCACGTGCACAGACACAGACACACACAGTGAGGTGGCATGCTACGTGGCTAGTGTAGTAGAGGGGATCCCTGCGTCTACAAGCAAGATGGATGAAATCAGAATGGCGACAACAGCCGACGCCGAACTGCTGTCAGTTGTGAAGCTCATAAAGAAAGGATGGCCTGAACACTTAAGCAATGTGCCCATGGACGCGAGAGAGTACGTCCAAGTGAAATCAGAGCTATCAGAACACAATGGCCTTGTCCTCAGAGGAAGCAGGATTGTCGTGCCAAGACCAATGAGAGCTGAGATCCTTCAGAAAATTCACGAAGGGCACCAGGGCCTAGTCAAATGTAGGGAGAGAGCGTGCTCATCTGTGTGGTGGCCCGGACTCTCTACGGAGATAAACAAGCTTGTGACGTCATGTCAGGCGTGCTGTGAACTGAAAAGAACACAACAAAAGGAACCTCTCATTTCCACACCGCTTCCGGAGCGACCCTGGAAGAGAATTGCAATGGACCTTTGTGAGCACAACCACCACAACTACCTGGTAATCTCAGATTATTACTCCAGGTTTCTAGAGATACTGCAGCTGCCCTCGACAACGAGTGCACAAGTTATCCAAAGACTGAAAACAGTCTTCGCCAGGTTTGGCATTCCAGATGAGGTGGTGAGCGATAATGGACCCAAATTTTCAAGTGCGGAGTTCAAGGAGTTTGTGAGGCAGCTCGACTTCAAGCACTGCACATCCAGCCCTCACCACCCACAGGGCAATGGGCACGCAGAGAGAGCCGTACAGACGGCAAAGAAAATTCTCAAGCAAGAAGATCCTGAGATGGCTCTGATGAGCTATAGGTCCACTCCCTGCTCCACCACAGGCTTCAGTCCAGCCGAGCTGTTGATGGGGAGGAAAATCAGAACCACACTCCCCACTCTGGAGAAAAATCTCCTACCCAGATGGCCCAGCAGGACCGCTGTGAAAGAGAGGGATGGGAGGGAGAAGGCTAAACAGCCTCACTACTTCAACCGCCGTCATGGAGCCATGCCCTTACCTGCCCTGCGACCAGGAGATGTTGTATTCTCCAAGTTGGACCATGAAAAGTCATGGTCTTCGCCAGCAGTGATCTCAAGCGAGAGCACCACCCCGAGATCCTTCGTCATCAGGACGCAGCATGGAGCAGAGCTGTGGCGGAACCGCTGTCACCGCCAACCAGTGCCGGTTCCCCAGCCCATCCCAGCAGCGCACGAGATCACAGGGACAGAGACACACTCTGACAGAGCTAACATGTTGGAGACTGTTCCTGTCAGTCAGAGTGTGGCTACACCCACAACCCCTCTACCCGGTCAGACTGTGACCAGATCTGGACGGGTGTGCAAGCAAGTCAACAGGCTTGACCTGTAGAAGTGCAGATTATATGGCCTTTGGCGGGGGGGGGAAGAAAAGTTGTACTGACATGGATGTGGTAATGTTGATTTGTGAGAAAAAAGAAAGTTATACAGCCATTGATGTTGATAATGTTTATTTGTTGGTTGATTGGAAAGAGACCACTGTATGTTGAAATGTCTCCATTTAAGTTAATTTGAGTTAATCTTGGTTTATGTTATGTGCTGTCTGAATAGCCATTCTCAGTTAAAGTGTTCCTTTGATGTTATTGACACAACACTCAAAAGAGGGGGAGATGTCATATACGGTAGTCTAATGCGCTTGCGCATATACTGAGGGTTATACGGGAGTTCCAGATGCATGTATAGTGAGACACACGGTGATCCATTCAACGGAGTTGAGCAAACTAAGAAGCCTCTATTGCTTTACTTTACAAACATAACGTAACTTAAACTTTAACGGAGGGAAATGAAGACGCTGTAGACATCTGAACGCTCATTGGCCAAGACTCGTCACATCAAAGATGTTCTATTGTGAAGATCACGACATCACAACGCCGGCTGGCCAGTTCACACCCCCCCCCCCGAAAAAAAAAACTCTACGGATCTACACGATTCACGTGGATGATATATTTTTGATTCAAAACGGTGAATTTCACCGAAAAGTGACAAGTTTGCAGGTATGGACTGTACTTGAAATGAGAAGAACATTTATTTATGTATTTCTATGTATTATTTATAATCCATCCAGTTAAATTTGAAAAGTGAGAATAATAATTGATGTGTACTTTCTTAATTTGATTTGACAGTTGTTTACTACACAGAGATGTTACTACTACTAGGCTTCACACACACACACACACACACACACACACACACACACACACACACAC